ACTTATACCAGTGTTTCTTTAGAGTGCAGGGGTGTCTAATAAAATCATCAGTTGTAAGGTTTTCATAAAGTCAGATTTTGCACAGACCAGTCAAGTGACAGTTTTTTTTATTTTTTTTTTTATAAAGTTAGGATAGGATCAGTAGTAGATGAACCTAAAATGAACTTATACAAAATGTTAATAACTTTTCAAAGTACAGTAGTATGTGAATAACTAATTTTCAACAAAAATGTTACTTAGCATCTCATAATTCTAAGGTCACTATGTTGCTACTAAATCAAAAGCATAATATCAACACATGTAAATGGTCAGTAATGCATGATCCTTAACATCGGGCTAAATGACCCGGTGCACCGGATGCATGGATGTAGACCATGAGAGCGGATCATCAGCAGCACTAAAACATTGCCATTATTATTACTGTCACCAAGTTACATTCACATTTAACTCATTTAAATTTATCATGAATAAAAAGAAGGATACTGGCTGGACAGTAGAAGATCCTACGCCAGGTTGAAGTGGACTGTTCTCATTTTAAAGAACATGAGAAAAAAATTGTGTTCCTTCATTCATTTAATTTAGATCTGTCTGTAGTAAAATAATGAGTTTTTTCTTAAAGGAGACTTACTTCTTCTTGCAGAGTAAATGTTGGACACTAGAGAAATAATCTCTGAGGTGGAAGTATTTTTAGTCGTCAAACTTTCGGTGGGACTCCTACGAGTGATTCTGAGTGACTTGATAAATACAGGCCTGGAGTTTATCTGTCAGCTGACTGCTACTATCTGTTAACACATCTGAGTGTTTATGTGTGTGTGTGTGTAGCGTCCAACCAAACTGGTGTCATGTGTTGACCTGCTGACTGGTTAAGTGGTTGTCGTGCCTGTTGACGGCCCACTGATGGTTTCCACTGTTTTTGGAGGCTGAGGGCAAATTAAAATCCAAACACAATTACATGGCATTCATTTGGCTGACACTAATGAGGGAGGAGAGGGAGGAGAGAGAGAGAGAAAGAGAAAGGGAGGAGGAGGACAGAGGGATAAAGGGATGCAGTGTTTCCCTGAGAAATGTTCTGTTAGTGGGTGGAAGTGGCGCAGGAATTCTGGTGGTGCTGAAAATCTGTCGAAAGTCTAGATTGGTTTGAAAAGTGGTGCATTTGTGTGACAATGTTGGGACTAAAAAAATTATCTCCCTGTTCCTCAATTATTTTCAGAGCCTTTTTAATGCAAAAAGCTTCCAGACTCACCAGCAGTCTTTAAAAATTAATACACATTGCCATGTAAGGATAATGTAACTTAAACATTTTGGTTTTCATCCATCCTGAATTAATAAAAAACCAATGGTTGTCTAGACAGTAGGTGCTTTTTGAATAATTGTTAATGAGGATAGAGATTAATCACTAATGGCTGAAGCAGATAAACACTTAAATGAATGGTGAGACAGAAACACAGATATGAGAGATTTTCCACTATTTTCTGACATTTTATTAACCAATGGACTAATTAAGAGATTTTTCAATTAAGGAAACAGTTTCAGCCCTAAGAATGTGACAAGATCAGACTCGCGTAACCTAACTCCTAGTAACTGGGGGAGTGGCAAAATCCACAGTTGGCATACCATGTATTCATTATCTGAAGTTATCTAGAGCTAATAAGAGGCCTGCACCTACTGTGCCAGGTAGGGATGTGGCTCATTAGCATTTGACTGAATCCAGTTCCAAATCCACTTGTTGAATCAGAATCATTTCAAATCCCTTATTGACCCATACGGAGTAGTTATCAGAAATCTGATAAGTAAGAAACCAATTTCAACTGTTTTGTATTACAAAAGATAAAACTTGATATTCAAGACTCTACCTTCTTCTGATCTCTTTGATAACACAATTGGTAATTTTATTTGTAATTCATGGACCAGTTACCAGACAGGCATGACACTGACACTAATAGAAACCACACAGACTCTATTGTCCTGAAGGGTTGTGTGGCTTTCACCACATATTTTATCTTTGCTCTGTGACATTCATTAACCCAGTCCTGACTCATCTTTCCTTTTGGCTGCGAGGGAAAATGGTGTTCTTATTTTAACATTTTTAACATGCTGGAGATAGAATGATAGATATTTAAACAAAGGACTTGTTGTTCCCCCGCTTGTCGTGAGGATCCTCCTGGATATTTTGCCGTTTTTGCCTTTGTTTCATTGATTTTCGAACATTTGAGCCCCTCTGCCATGTTTGTTGTTAACAGCTGAATTATCATTTGTTTGTATATGACATCAGTCCTTTGTTTATGTTTTTTAAACCAATGCCTGTAGTGTCAGAGAGAGGTAGAAGAGATATAACAGAAATAGATAAACATAAATGCACAGAAAACATGAATGAAGGTTTAATAATGGAGTCTGGGTATTTTACTGCCAACCAGATCCAAAATGGAACCGGTTATAGGACCCATCCGTAGTGATAATGTTGCTCATGATGCTGTGAGTGTCCACATGTCAAATGTGAGAAATGACAGACTGACGACTTTCACTGGACTGAGACTGAACCAGCCGTCTGCTGCTCACAGGTCGATGATGTCATGTCTTCTGTGTATGTATGTGTGAGACACATAGGTGAGTGTGTGAGAGCCATATGTGAGGTATATGACGCATAGTGTGTGTGTTGTTGCTGGGTGAAAAGCTCTATAGTTAGGTCCCTCCCTCCCTGCCTCTAGGTTACCATGGGGACAGGGTGTGTGTGTGTGTGTGTGTGTGTGTGTGTGTGTGTGTGTGTGTGTGTGTGTGTGTGAGTGTGTGTGTGTGTGTGTGAATATAGCTATCATGAGCTGTGAATTGGTAGCTTTTTGTAGCACACTGCAGTCGGATAAACGGAGAAGTGAACTACTCAGTGTTGTCTCTTTCTCTCTCTCGCTCTCTCTCTCTCTTTCTCTCTCTCTCTCTCTCTCTCTCTTTTTCTTTTTTGCATTTCCCTCCTTCTGTCCCTCCTTCCTCTCCTCAGTTTTCAGTCTGTGTGTCTCTGGTAGATCGACAGTGGTTTTCAGTCATGACGGAGAGCTAAGAGCTGATGAGTGAAACTCCTGGAACGACAGGCAGACAGGCCTCAGGCTAACGCTAACTCTGTGTGTGTGTGTGTGTGTGTGTGTGTTTGTTGTAATTTTTATTGCATCAGATCTATGTGTGTTTGTATGTCAGGTTCGTGTTTATATGTTTAATCCTCGTGTTTGTACACTTTTCTTTGATCAATGTATGTGTATGTTCAGTTTCCTGTCTGGTGTGTGTGCTTGTTTGTTTGTGTGTCTGTGTTTTCTGAATAAGTGAATGAAACAAAGTTGATGTGGTTTTTGTGATGTTAGTGTTTTATGGTTGTGGTTGTTGTCGTCATTCTCAAGGGTTCATGCTGTGTGAGTGTGTCTAAGTGACTTTAAATGATGTGTAACCTCGCTGTGTTGCCACTCTCATTGTGTATCTCTCTTTGCTGTGGAACTACAGCGTAGCCTCGGGACTAAATGATGAACAGTCATGCAGCCCTAAGTACTGATGACAGGAGAGTAGTGATGAGTTCATTGTGAATGCAGGGTTCCCACGGGTCTTTGAAAAAAAAAAAAAACGCCTTGAAAGTTTTTTTTGTAAATAGACATAAATTGACATGGGTCATTGAAAGTGCTTGGTTTTATATATTTTGTGCAAAAATAGAAATCAAACTTCATTTGATATTTGTTCAGTACGCTACATGCTGCTGTCTGCATGTGTCTCCTGCTGTCTCTCAGCTCTTCAGCTGATAAATAAGTCTCTGTCTTTGTTGCTCAACTTATACGAGATATTGTTTTGCTCTGCTGTGTTAGAGAAGGCAAGAGACCACATTGTCTGTCATCACTGTAACACAGCACAAGTGAGAAGTGTTTTATTGTTTTAACCTTCATCTGTGTTTCAAACTATGCTGTGCTGGGTCTTTGAATTTGAGGGAATTGGGCCTGGAAAGTCCTTGAAAAGTAATTGAAGTTCATGTTTAAGAAGGTGTGACAACCCCTTGATTTGAGGAACAAGAAACTTAAAAAAAAAAAAATCAAAATCATCCAAAAACATCTTTATTTACTGTGTATCCCTGGATATGTTAATAGAGCTGGATAGTTGTAAGGTAGCATGTTGCCAGTTTTACTGGCGGCCAAGAGCAGTAGTACAATGAAAACAAAAATCAAAGCAACTTCTTCATATTGTGCAATTATTAAACATGTTTTGACAGGATGACTTCTGACAGGATAGATCGAAAAGTCAGTTATTACTAGAATCTGGAAAGGCTATGGCTATTTAAAGACTATGGAACAAACCCAGAGGTTCAGGGGTAGATGCACTAATAAATGTGTTGTCTGTGGCACAGAAAGGAGGCAGGGAGAAAAAATATTTTGGCCTATGTATTGGGTCATCTAAGACCCTTTATGTCAGACCCGATGAACACCAATATAATGGGGTTTTTTTAGCTTGTTTTGCAGTGTGGCTGCTAGGATGGCAATATAGGTCAGACCGTCCACCACTTTGGTCTATAGTGGAATAGCTCAGCAACTACCAGATGCTTTGCCATGAAGTTTTACACAGACATTCATGGTCCTCGGATGAAGCCGACTGACTTGACACCTGATGTTTCATCTAGCACCATTATCAGGTCAAAATCTCTGTTTGTCCAAAACTTTGGTTCAAAACTTTGTGTTTAGTGTTATATTTCAAACCCTAACCTGTGTACAGCTGAGTGCATCACACCTCTCAAAAACTAACTTGTCATTAGTATGATAATATATCATGAAAAGCCATTGTTATTATTACATCATAGGGTGTATCATCTCCTTCCTGCAGGCTGATGGTGACATTCTGGGCATGACAGCTCTTGGCTGCTGTCACATGGCATAAACACTAGTATGATCTATAGAGTTTGAAAATTGCTATTGACAGTTGTTTTTGTGACATTTTTGTCTCGATTTCTCAAGATGATTCTCACGGGATTTGTTTTTGTGTGTCAGTTCTACCTGCAGGACACTAAAAGCAGCAATGGGACGTTCATCAACAGCCAGAGGTTGAGTCGCGGCTCGGAGGAGAGTCCACCCTGCGAGGTCCTCTCCGGAGACATCATTCAGTTTGGTGTCGACGTCACTGAGAACACACGCAAAGGTACGCACACAAACGATAATATGTTTACACACATGGACGCAGATGCAGAATGGAAAGAATCAAAGAAAGATGGTTGTGGTTAGGTAGAACGTAAAAAGGGTTTTCCCTCCTCTACCAGCCTTGTAGCTGATAATGCACTCATACAACCCTGAAATAATTACACTCGACTAACCCTTAAGGTACCACAGGGATTGTTTCATAGGTCATAGACTACATAATGTACATACACACAGAGGAGAGCAGATATTGAGGTCAAACTTTCAGCTCCACTAATATCACTTACATACTGGAGACGCATTCAACCTGCAGTGGACCTCATTCACAGGAGGCTGCTATGAGACGTTCATGTGTGAACATCACTGTTTCAAAAAGACCATGGAATGGAAATAATAAATAGAAATAAACAAAAGTACATTAGATATAATATAATAAATGTAGCTGAATTTCTCAGAGGAACCATTGGTTTCCATTCATTAACAGTATGAAAATGAATTGAGATGCACTTCAAATGTGCTTAAGTTGTGCTATCCATCATAATGAATATAGATCTGCTTTAATTTATATAAACAATACCATAATTTTGTGACGCCATGCAGTGCAGACCTTTCACATCAATTTGGACTTTAATTGCATTACAACTAGGGCTATGATTATTTTCATTATTGATTCATCTGTGGAGTATTTTTTCAATTAATTGTTTAATCTATAAAATGTCAAATAGAATTCTCTAATTTGAGAGGCTGGTATCAATTATCAAAATAGTTGCCAATTATTCTTCTATTAATTGACAAAACTGACCAAAATTGATACTGAAGTAACTTTAATGATAATGGATTACACATAACTCAAGCAAGTTTCTTGAGAGTAACTAATAGATTTTTTACACTGTGTGGAAATAAACCAACTAAAATGGATACCTGGAAAATTTACAAATGAATTAAAGTAACAAGTGTAAACACACAGCAGTATGGTTTGCCAAATCATTATCTTTGATGTAAAGATGACCAGTTTTAGCTGTTGTTAGATGAGCCTTAACTCTATTGTGAGCTCTCCCAGACGCTACCACTGTTTTAAATCATGTTTGATTTTATCTCAGCCAAAAACAAGATGTGCTTGTAGTTGTGGCACCAGGGAGGCTATTCTGAGAGGGAGGATGGCTCAGGTGGTAAAGCAGGTTGGCCATTGATCGTCGGGGTGAAGAGGTTTGATCCCCGACTCCTCCTGTCCATGTGTCCTCCTGTGTCTATGAGCAAGTCAGTGAACAGGGATACTGTTGATAGTGTTGTTCAGGACTTCTCTCCATGGTCTCTATGTTCAGTGATGATGAAGGGCTTTATTATAAAACTCCTCGTGACATGATGTGGACATTAACATGGTAGTTGTCTGTTTGTGTTTCCAGTCACCCATGGCTGCATCGTGTCAACAATCAAACTCTTCCTACCTGATGGGATGGAGGCACGCCGTCGAAGCGAGTAAGCATTCTCAGTTAACACTGGTGGTTAGATCGCGAGAGACTGATTTATTACTGCTCCTTCCTGTTTATCATTTGACAGAGTGAACCAGGTATTGATGTTTCAGTGTTTCTATAGTTACTGTAAATGATGCCGTTACTGCCCGTCTGTCTGCTCTCACACACAGACACACACACACCACAACACACACAACACACACACACACACACACACACACACACACACACACACCAAATTTCTGCTTGCATAGTAATGTAATTATTGTCAGTCTAGTTGTTGATGAGGCAGCCATGGGGTTACATGCTGCGAGGGAAATGGTGCGTGTGTCAGTGTGTGCGAGTGTGGTGTGTGTGTGAGTTTGTTGTTTTTGATCATTTTGATAATAATTTGAAAACTGTTTGTTGATGTTGGTCAGGTCATGGTGTGATGTTTACATTGCTCATGCCTGAGGGTTTGAGAATGAAGGATATTATGCTCATATATTATAGGATCAACAAACGTGTGTGTGTGTGGACAGTTAAATGGGATGTAGCAGACAGCAGCTGACCCAGCATGGAGCTTCTACTGTACTGGGAGTCCAATGTGAGTGAGTGTTTGTGTGTGTGTGTGTGTATGTGTGTTTTGTGATTGTACTGTAGATACCAATGTAGAACCTGTGTGTGTGTTGTGGTGGTGTGTGTGTGGGCCACGGTGCCATGGTGGGCAGTGCCTCTGCTGCCCTGCTGTCCAGCTTTCAGTCTGGAAAATGCAGACGAGTGTCTTGACCTGTATGAATACAGACTGAAACAGTCCCTTGGGTCTGTTCTGCTCCAGCTGTCCGCGTGTTGGCCGATGAAGAGTTCATTTCCATTCACATGTTTCAGGAAAAACACGCAGTTCACCTGAGTTGAATCATACATGAAATCATTCTGTAAAGACGTTGCTTAGTGGAGCAAGCACTGAAACTATCTGATGATGCTTGAGTGAAAGCCTCTCGTTGTCAGAGGGTCTCTGGTTTTGAAATTAGCTGAATCTGAGCTGTGGCCAAAATCTAATTCAGGGTTTCCCGCCATTCTTATCTCTGAGCCCCCAAAACATGCAAGAGTGAGCAGTGAGCTGGTTAGATGAAGAGTGTCCGCTTACTAGCTTAGATTAACTCAAACCTCCAACACATTATCACGGCATTGCGTCTTCCTCACAGTTACCCAAAAGATTGGAAATTCAAAGACTTCTACTAAACTGATGTCTCAGGAGTGCACAAATAATATTGGCTCAAATACGGCATTTTATTATTTTTTTTATATGATGATATTGATATTTTTATTTTCAATATGAACTTAAAGAATAAAATTTTGCCCAGTTGGATCAGTGTAGAGGAAGTTGCACCACGTTTAGACTCGCATACTAGTGATGCACCCATCATCACAAATCCACATATTACTTTCTCCACCAGGTCAAATTTTGGTGAAATTACATTTTTCATGAATCAAGTAGAGATTTACTTATCATGGTATTTAAGTCCTGTGCAGCTCAGTCTCCTAATAAAGTTCAGCTGGAGAGTGATGTGAAGCTAGGTTAGACAGATTTATTAATAGCTGAAGAATGTTTGTGCTCCTGGTGATAGGTTAGCCATCTGGACGTTGGCCAAATACGGCTTTATACAGTTAACCCCCGTGTGTGAGTAAACAC